CGAACCGGGCGTGGCCATTAGGACCCGGTCGTATCGCCTACCTAAACACAAGAAAAAAGTGATTCAGGAGTAATATGTTGAAAATGGGAGTAGTAGAAGAATCCCACAGCGACTGGGCCAGCCCGATTGTCTTGGTATCAAAGACAGACGGCTCGGTCCAGTTCTGTGTGGATTATCGCAAGGTGAATGCTGTGTCGAAATTTGATGCTCATTCAATGCCGCATATTGACAAGTTGCTCGAATGGTTAGGTGCTGCTCGGCATTACTCGACATTGGATTTAACGAAGGGATATTGGCAGATCCCCTTATCTCCAATATCCCGCTTAGCCAAAAAAACATCCTTCACTACGCCGTTCGGATTACACCAATTTGTGATGCTTCCGTTCGGGCTGTTCGGGGCACCAGCGACGTTTCAGCACCTGATGGATAAAATACTCGGCCCTCGCACAGCATATGCAACATCTAAGGGGGTATTGTCGGTTGGACGGGCCAGGCTCACAGCTAATCCATTGAAGTGCGCAATTGGGCGAGTGGAAGCAAGGTATCTGGGCTTCCACTAAGGTCACGGGCAGGTGCAGCCCCAAATTGATAAGACTGCAGCTATTGCAACCTGTCCAAGACCTAAGACCAAAAAGGAGGTAAGACAGTTTTTGGGGCTGGCAGGATATTATAGGCATTTTGCCCCTAATTATTCGGCCCTTATCAGCTCATTGACTGATTTCACTAAAAAGGAGGGACCGGATACCGTCCAATGGTCGGAGCAGTGCCAACAGGGCTTTTCGAAGGTAAAGTGTATACTTTGCGGGGGGCCACTATTGCATGCTCCTGACTTTGCTCTCCCCTTTGTTTTACAGAGAGAGAAGCATCCGATCGGGGACTGGGGGCGGTTCTCCCACAGGAGGTGGCGGGAGTGGAACGGCCAGTGCTGTACATTAGCCGCAAACTCAGCAAGAGTGAGGCTAAGTACAGCACCATAGAGAAGGAGTGCCTGCCGTTCTCACTCTCCGCTATTACCTCCTGGGTATGGAATTTGCCCTCTGTTCAGATCACGCTCCTCTCCAGTGGCTTCACCGCATGATGAATACCAATGCTCGGATCACCCATTGGCCAGGTGCAGAAATGGCTGTAACCGACTTACTCTCCAGGGCCTGGGGGCTCCCCGGCTTGAGGCAGGCGGTGGGGGTATGTGGAGAGGTGAGCATGATCGAACACTCAATAAGGGGGGAGAGCATGCTCGGAGCCCGGCGGCTAATCAGCAGGTCAATCAGAAATGATAAATAACACCTGTCTTTTTAGTGATTGGGCCGGAGAGACTCCCTTCTTAAGGAGAAGGGGAGGAGCAGTCGGGAGAACACACACACCCTGCTACATGTGTGATGTAGTAAATCAGTTTAATAAAACTGTAATAAATCCGACCCTGTCTTCTTCTTCCCACAACAACAACAAACTTTACTACTAGAAGGTTATTTCATTTCATCAGTTGATTCATTGGAGAAGGGAAACATCCATGGAAGAAGACGAGTAAGGGAGAAGGGAAGGTGAACCATCTGACATCGATTCCAGCCACTGACTGACTGGAATCCCTGGGTAGGTGACAGGAGATGGGGAGCGATAATTGGTGCTGAGGGAATGTGATGATGAGAAAGAATGGTAAACAGAGCAGCAGAAACGAGCTGGCGATGTGACAACAGGTGTTCAAATCTAAGCTAGTTTTAATAAAACAAATATAAATATGCATTCAATAAATAATACTAATGATAATAATAACATTATACAAAAGTAAGTTGTCGTGAATAAATTGAAAGAAAAGCCCCTGAGGTGAAAAAGGCATGGAGATACTTTTTTAAATATTTATGTAGAAAATAATCATTTTTGTAACATTTTAATCCTTTAATTCTTTTTCATTTGTAAAGATATTTCGGTATTGCTCTTTTGGTTATTATTCAACAAATGCAGAGGACAAACTAGCGTTCTTGTCTAGACCGGTCTTACAAAGTTACCTCAGAAGAAAGAACTGAGATATAAGATATTTCCTGATGGTCACCTGACCTTTACGTATTTTAACGGATGATAATTTAAACATTAAAACATCCAAACAACGATAAATTGCTTTTTTCCTTTTTCAAACACTGCCTTTATATGGTTGGGCAGCGGAGCAACAAGTCAGTTATCTAAGCTTTCAGACGCAGCCAATAATGATAGTCAAAATAGCACATACAGGCAAAACTAAATTAATACCTGTGGCCCCTGCAATACACTTGGACCGCATGAATAAAAAAAAAACAGTCTGTGGAAGAAACTAAACATTATCATGCACCTATGTCTATTACACTGGAAACCTTGCTACTTGATTACTCAAAATACATGTTGAAAGTTACTGCCAATTGTAGTCATAAAACATTCTGACAAAATATGTATGTGTGAACTGGCCCTTTTTGAAAATATTGGTAAATTTTTTTTCTGCCAATTTTCCAGAAACAGAATTTGTAACGTTACCAATAATTTGCCAGAATGCTGCTCTGTATGAACGCAGAAGGAAAATTGCTGGTCTCAACAAGAAAGAGCATGTTCACATTTAGAACATGCTGAAGTGAGACGTCTATTCCAGCCAATCAGAACATTCAGACACATTCACATCCACATCCATATTTTTCCAGACACATTCAACTGCTAGATGTTTGTCAAATAATGTTTTTTTCTTAATGCTAACTGTGTAAAAAAATATAGATAAAATGCTTATGAGAAACCCTTGCTTACCTTCAAGCTCTGCTTCAGTTGCTTGACGTGTGAGCACATGAAGAAGTGCTTTGGTGAGTGCCAGCACACACATATTATTTACATCTTGACATGCAAAAGTGTTTATCGAAGAAGAACACTAGTTTTCACTGAAGTTATTTACAATAATTACCAACCACAGAATTTGTAATGTAGTCAAATGCGTAAACATTTAGCTGCGGTTCATGCTTGAGCCCTTGAGATGTCTCTGGGACAAAGCAGATGCTAAAGCTTTAAATAAAAGTGAAACCATCAACAAAAGCTCATCCCCTTCTATGTGTACAAATACAAGCACAGCTGTTTAAAGTGCATTTCTGGTTAATGATTTCAGAATTTAATGGTATTTTGGAATGGATGTGTGAATGTTTTTTTTCCGAAAAAATTCCGGAATGTTTATGAAGGGGCTGTGTGAACAGCACTTTTTTGAATTTACCCGTAAAGTTGGTCCAGACATTTTCTGGATATTTACCAGTGTCACTCTGTAAAAAGGAAACGATCGCTCAGTGCAAGGCAGCATCCAGGATAAACACAATTATTACATAACTCTCTGGAATATTTGATTCTGATTGGTCAGTCACTACATTTCAAGGTATGTTATTACAGCATAACAACTGCAAACTAATAACACAGGCTCATCTTTGTACAAGAGTCATCTTGACCAACAATAAGTACATTCATATATTTAACCCAGGCTCATTAAGAATACATACCCCAGTATATATTTCTGGACAGCGCCAAATATGTCCCATGAGGTACGTTTTTTTTTTTTTTTGCAGTTTTTCCTTTTCGCGAATCTGCCAGAGGCGGCTGTGTACTCTGTTTCAGATCTCAAATTTCTCTTGTGAGTGCAATTTAAGCCGGCTCTCCTCGCGTAAATCAACCAGTGGCCAATGTTGACTGACTCGGTCTAACCTAACTGATAGTGTTTTCAAAAGCACCGATTGACTGTTGAACATCCTCTTCCCTAAACCCAGTGCTTAATTTGTAAACTGCGAGTTCCCAGAACAGATGGGAGTAACAGATCCAGCATGTTACCCGTTGATGGAGAGGTGCACACATGAAAGTGGAGAGCCGAGGGGCTGCAGTGGGTTAGGCGTTGGATGGCGGAGGGGTGTCAAGGATGAAGAATGAAAGTGAAGAGCGGGGGGTTGTCGCGGATGAGAGTGAAGGGCATTGGGAAGTAGCAGTAGAAAGTGAAAGTGAACAGTGGACGAGGGAGAAGAGCGATTGAGAAGGGGGATCAGTAAAATGAGATTCCGGATCTGGCGTGTTTCGGCACAAATTAAGCCCTGCCTTAACCCAACCAACAGTGTTTTTAAAAGCAATTCAGAAAAAAAGAAACACCCTCGCAGCTGTCTGATATTTACCACATTTTCAGATCTTACCACATTCTTAGCCTGTTACTTATTTAATTTTTTACCTTTTGTTTTACCAGCTTTCTGGAACCATTCTTTCCCAGACCTGACCCCAGGGCCGAAGTGGGACTCCTTTTCACCCCTGAAGTTTCAAGCCTTAGACCGGCCCACCCCAGTTCATGACTGACTAAATTAAAATAAGTTAATAAGAACATTAAAGGGTAGCTAAATCTTCAACACTATTCTTTTAAACATCACAATGTCCTTTCCTGCAATATCTGAATATATATTTTGTGCAAAAATTTTTATAGATATCCAGTCCTTTGTTATGGTAGTTACACAAAAAATAAAGTATGTACACCAACATAAGTACCCAAACAGTATTATATGTCTTAACACTAAAAATAAAATTACTCTGGTGAGGTTGAAACTCAGGTCAGCGGCGTTGTAACACAACGTGGTGACTGCTGGACCACAATGGCGCTGTTATGCTGATGCATTTGGAATAAAAAAATAAGTATTGCACTATTATCTGCAAGACTTTTAACCACAGTATTACTTTCTATTGATGGCTTAATCTTTTTTTCCCCTTTTTAGATTTCTGATCAAGATTTAATAATGTAGTGAATCATCTGATTTTTATTGAGCAGATGTAATATTCATTAATATTAATTATTCAAACTCTTATATTCACTAAGGTGCCCCTGTTTGGAGTCGAATTATAGTTACATCATCATTAACCTGCAGGCTGCATGTTGATCATGGGGCTGCAAGAAAATAAATAAAAAGAGCGGATCTGCGGCAAAATAATTAACAAAAAGAGTGAGGCTATGATCAAATAAAAAAAAATTTAAAATAGTGTGACTGCTTGGAGTGCAAGCAGCTAGGGACACCGGCACTCGCGACCAAAAAACGGCCGGCCGTCGGGAATTCTTCCGATTAGCCAATCCGGGCATGCCCGACACCATCATCGCAGTCAACTTCTCTGAGTCTCAAGTCTTCCAGCGTATACAAGGAGCCACTGGACAAACTGGAAACAGTGGAAAAGCCGATCACATCGAGGTGGGTGGGCATATCTCCTCTACATCTGTTTCCATGGTTTATAATCTTTTTCAGCTACAATTTAGTTTAAAAAATTGAACAATTCAGCAAAATATATTTGTATAACAAAAAAATATAAATAGTTTGCTTATCTAAAATGATTTATATAGAACTGCTGAATGCATATGTATTTTAGGCAAGTATATAGACCCTTTTTACATGTCTGGGTTTCCCAGCAGCAGAAATCATCATAGTTGGGTAAACTTAAAGCACAGTGAATGGGAGAATACAACAAATCTTTTTTTACAATCCTATTTGCTGAAATAATAAAAGGAAAAACTTTACGTTGGTCAAAACTTTCAGAAAAAGAGAAAAAAATTGTGTGAGACTGATAACAGCAGCCAAGAGAGAACAACGTCAAATTTACAGTCCTGCTACACTCTGCATTACAAATGCCTCGTACACACAGGAATTTGTTTTTGTAATTAGACGCAAAAATGATATAATTCATATGTAAATGCTTATAAATTTTCCTTAGTTTAAGTATAAATAAACGTTCGTTCAGGGAGTTATGATGCTGATTACAATTAAAGACCTCATAACGGTCTTGCGAAAAGAGTCCATTATAAGTAACTGCAATTAAATTCCCAAAATATGACCAGTGATCCCTTACATTTCTTTTAGACTGAAAAGTAATTTAATTACAATAGTTACTTTGTAACTAGTTACACCCAACACTGGCGAAAACACATTTAAAGCAACTTGATACAATAATCACTTTAATTCAATATCTGTTCATACTTTAGTGGTTGTGATTCAACACTTTGTACCTCTCAGGTTGCCCCTCTTGACCTTATTTTCTCCATCTTGGCACAGTTGTTTCAGGTGTGGTGTGGTTTTCTTTGGCTAATGAACTCCAGTTAAGAGTCCTGCCTATTGATCTTTCTGAGTCTCTTCATTTTCTCCTGCCGGACTGTTTCTACTTCCAGAGAGGAAATCTCTGAGAGCCTCTGAACAAAAGAGGCTGTGGCCCCGAGGTGTGGATCAAGGTACGACTGAGCTGAAAAACAAAGACTGGTTAGGCAAGACTCTTTTCTCGCCTTAAGTAAATGACTTGACATTTCAGTAATAGCTGTGTCTAGCATGGCGTGTGTATGTACTTGAGTGTTAATTAATGTTTGTGAGCTCATGAAATAAGCATGACTGGGTCACATCCAATTATGTGCCTGTTAATACAAGGTTCTTATACATTATTCAAAGTCAAGTTTAAGCACTCTCCAGGTGCATTTTCAAATTTCCAGCACTTTACACGTGTGGCTAATACAAATTGACATATTCCATCTCATTACATCAGATACTATTTGTTAGAATACAATACTATGCACAGACTCCAAAGTTTTCATTTTATGCAAAAGCAGAAATATTATTTTTATATTATTTTTATATTAAATTTTCTAAAGCAGAAATTTTATTTTATTTAAATATTTCATTATTATTACCTATGTAGTAAGATAAATTATTATGAAATAATTTTGTATTTTCATTTTCATTAACTAACAACAAAATTACTTTAATAAATATATTGTTTATGCATTTGTTCAGGTTACTAAATACATTAACTAATGGAACTTTAATATAAACTGTAGCATTGCATGTGTGAAATTCACCCTGCGAATTGAATCTGGTTATGTTTACATCTTGTATTAAGATGCATTTATTTGATTCGATTACAAGTGACAAAACAACTCGCCACCTGCATAATGCCTAAACATTTCGGCATGCGTTGTTGAAGAGCACAAGTCAGAAGAGATTAAAACATTTGATTAATTTGTGTGATGAAAATGGGTTATTCATTACATAAAATGAATAATTTTATTCATTGACACTAAATCAAATTTAGTTTGATTTTGTAAATTAAATTACATGTCATACATTAAATGCATTTAAAATATAAAATGCATACATTTAGTTTTCTTTAAATATTCATACACTCATTCATATCCTTCAGCTTAGTCAGGAGTCGCCACACAGATTGAACCACCAATTACTCTGGCATTTGTTTTAGGCGGTAAATGCCCTTTCATCCACATCTCAGCACTGGGAAACAATCAAACACTCTTATTCACACTTAATCGTACACGATAGCTAATGCTGTTTTATCTTATTTAATTATACCATATGTCTTTGGACTGTAAGGGAAGCCAGAGCACCTGGAGAAAACCCACACGATGATGCACACGCCACACAGAAATGCCTCCTGGCACAGCTGGGACTCGAACCAGCATCCTTCTTGCTGTAAGGTGACAGTTCTAACCATTAAGCCACCAAGTCAGCCAATAAGAATTATACACATTATAAAAATTGTATAAATGGTATGAAGTTGTCCATATGAAGGCAGTCCTGAAGCAGATGTTCGGATTCAGTGTAAAGACGCCATGGCTCATTACACAGATGTACAGTGTACAGTTAGTGTTAATACAAACTTTAAAACATGTACATTGTTTTAGGTTTGATTTTATGCCAATTTTGCTATGTAAAAGTGCTTATAGTGACTCATTTTAATAAAATAAATAATTTTTGTATTTTACTTGCATTAATCGACTTCACATCTGTAACATACTAGCTGCTTTACTAGCATTTTTAACCATATTCATTCAAAGATGTAGTACACGGAGCAGACAGAATAGAATAGAATAGAATAGAATAGAATAGAATAGAATAGAATAGAATAGAATAGAATAGAATAGAATAGAATAGAATAGAATAGACATTGTTTTAAAACAAAGAAAGACTGTTCAGGACTTATCAACCCATGCACAATCTCTAATCAGAATAGTGGTCAAAAGTGGACCAAAGAGACAGATTAAACACCATGAGTAAACAGTCTATGTTGTCTACTTGTAATCCAATAACCAAAATGCATCTTAAAACCAAGGTATAAATAGGGCCTGTAATAGGAGTGAAGTGAGAGATATCACATGTTCGGGACTAAGCAAGCAACTTAACAACACATAATATGTGCTAAATTCACCCGCGTATATAAGCTTGGTCCCTGATAAACAGAACAAGCAGAATGCAGCAACACAGGCTCGCTGGAAACAAGTGCTGCAGTCAGTATGACTGCAACAACTCTTGTTCCTTTTCACACTATTGATATTTATAGGCACCTGTTAATGGTGTCCTAATGGTTTAATACATGGTGTATTAAACATTTGTCTCATCTTTCTATTTCCATACAGACAACTTTCCTGGTGTGGTCAGTTTGCTCGATAATTTACTTTGTACTGTTTTGTAATTATGGTGCAGAGCACTAAGGTTTCTGCACGGTTTCACAAAGCAGATAAAAGCAATGAAAAATCAAGGTAAACTACAAGGCCTCTGTTCACCTTTTTTCTTTTTTTTTTTTTTGAAAACACTATTGGCTTGGTTTAGGTCACTGGATTCGCTATGTGATCTGTACTAGGTGATGTACAAGTGCATAGGTTGTGTATCTCAAATGCACAAAAAAACATACCCTAAACAAAGTATTCCAGATTTTAAAATAAAATAAATAAAATAATCATAGCACCCTCTAAGTGGATTTATCATCTGAAATGTGCCATGAAGTTTTTCTAATTTTGATTTTAACTTTTACATGTGCGTTGATTAGATCATCTGTTTTGTTTGTTTTTTTGTTTTTTTGGTGTGTAACCATCTTAATAGTCTACTATGGTTATCTAGTCTACTAGGTAAATCACAACACATTAAGGTCATTCCTAAAGGTCAAATGAAAGATAATGCTCACTTTTGTTAGCATCAATGGGAAAGAGGCTGTTTTTCATCCTTGTCCTACGAAAAACAATAAATGAGACAAAATATAGAGTTAGAGTAAAATATTAATACAATAAAATTACAACTCAAATATTTGGAATAATTTTTTTTTTCGAAATCCAATTGTGCAGTTATTTGACGGAAGCATTTTACAGCTGTTTTCTATTTTAATATATTTTGTTCTTAAGATGGTAAGGAATTTTTAGGCCCATTTTTGTACTTTTTAAAGTTTTTTTAAATAATAATGAAAAAGTAACACTTTTACAATCATTTATAACATTAATAATATAAAAAAAATGTTTTGAGCAGCAAAACAGCATTTTCTAATGGTTTTTAAAGGATCATTTGACACTTAATACATTTGACACTGAATACTAGAAATTCAGCTTTGAATCACAGGAATAAATTACAATTTAATCTTTTTTTTTTTTTTTAAACAGGAACATTAAAACAATATTGCTGATTCAGTTGTGTGTTAATCAAATAAATACATACTCTCTGTGCATTAAAGACATTGTTCAACAACAACAAAAATATTTTAAAAGTTTTGGCTAGCATTGTTTGTACAGTTTTTTACCTGTTTTTAAAGTTTTGTGATAGACACACTCGACCACTAATAGAGGGAGTTGTGACTGGTAACAGTATTGATGGAAATGACTCCAAATAATCAGACCTAGAAGAACTGATACAAAGTATGTAAGTTATTGCATATATAAACACAGTCAAAAAAATGCAAGCATTTCAGCAGGACTCACTCGCAAATACGGGGCCTTGTGTCACGTGGGAAAAGCTCTTTGCGATGGGCAAATTTGGTTAAATTGTGAGAGTGATAAACATGAAACTCCTGAGAGAGTGCACCTGGGTTGTGGTTATTCAGAACATCTTCTGTTTGGAAAAATAAACATTTTGATGCAGAAAAGCCTAAAATTTCAGAATAATGTGACAGAAAGCTATATAAACAATTTTTTTTCTCAAATAATTGCAAAAGCATTCACTGACCAAACTTTGTTCAATCTAAAAAATTTTGTTTTATGTTGGTAATCCCTAAAGTTAAAAGGGCTGCACAAATATTAGTGTGGATTAATGCGCCATCTCCTGGTCACTCGACTAAAATAAAATACACATTTTCATCTCGTCAAATATTAATAAATTATTTATTTATTTATTTATTTTGTCTTAAACAAGAGCATTTAGATTGAAATATGAATGGAAAAGTGATAAATACCTTCAATACCATGTTTCATGTATGTTCCATTTCTCCATCGTTTGTCAAATAAAAAATGGCGGCCAGAGATATTCCTGTCAGGCATGTTGTTTTGTGAGGTACATTTGGTGAATTCTGCACGATCATTGGCTATACATGGGAGCAGAGGCCTAAAAAGTTGACAAAGTTGAATAATATTTATCTCTTAGAAAAAAACAAAGTTATTTCAAGTGTGCCATTTACTGGTATACTCAACATTAAAACGAAGAAGAAAAAAGAAAAAAGAAATGTAATGTCAGCATGCTTATGTAGCCTAAAGTACACTTTATTTAGAACTGATTGTTTACCCCCAAATTAATGGAACTAATATGTTGCTCCATAAGTGGACACTGTTACAACTAAAGTTTGAAATGCAGAATCCCTGAGTGTTTTAAAATCATCACTTACAATGTAGGCTACTTTAGGGTATGTTTTATGTGTGTTATTCTTTTGCTTTTTGCTTTCTTAATTTGATTTTAAATTTTCTTTATTTTTATTATAACTGCTTTGTTTTTTTTTTGTTTGTTTTTTTGTTAGTTTTTTTGTCTTTTTTCTTTAGCCTAGATTTTTTGTACATTTCTTTTCCTTCTGTACTTTTATATAGTGCTTTAATTATAATATACTAAAATCCATAGTAAACTAAAGTATTCCCCTCTTAAAATATTTGCTTAAAATATTACCTTGTTTCCCCTTATCTGTACGAGTGAAATTTTAAACTGTCCAGTGCCTTCTGCTCTCAAATGTTGAAAAAAGTATTAAGGTCTTGTTTTAGATAAACACTAAAAGCTGAGATGAAAAATGTACTTTAGTCAGAAATTTACTTTTGCTGTTTATTCAAAGGTTTAGGAAATTTTCCAAATTATTTCTCTACCATGGTGTTATGGCAACTAGTAAAAACAGTGCTTTGTTATTGAAGCATTCTGTAGCATTTGTTAAATCATATTTTACAACAAACCCTGCATAAATTGTACCCTGATCATCTCTACTCTTGAGATATTTTTAGAAAATTCCACCACACAGGTCCAGCACTCAATGCGTTTAGTATGTAGTTGAAGTCAGAATTATTAGCCCCCCTGTTTATTTTTTCCCCCAATTTCTGTTAAAAAAAATAGATTTTTTTTTCAACACATTCTTAAACATAACATTTTAATAACTACTTTTTAAAAACTGATTTATTTTATCTTTGCCATGATGAAAATAAATTAGATTTCTTTAGATATTTTTCAAGACACTTCTTTTTAAGCTCAAAGTTACATTTAAAGGCTTTAACTAGGTTAATTATGTTAATTTGGCAAGTTCGGTTAGGCAAGTTATTGTATAATAATGGTTTGTTCTGTAGACTATCAAAAAATATAGCTTAAAAGGGCTAATAATTTTGACCTTAAAAGGGTTTTTAAAAGATTAAATTTGCTTTTATTCTAGTCAAAATAAAACAAACCAGACTTTCTCCAGAAGAAAACAAAATAGTATAGCACACATACTGTGAACATTTACTTTTACTGGTAAACATCATTTGGGAAATATAAAAAGAAAAGAAAAGAAAATTCAAAAGGGGTTAATAATTCTGACTTCAACTGTGTGTCTACTTGTCATGCTGCAATATTTACTTTTTTAACATAATGTTAAATGTTACAAATGCTTTTTAAAGGATATGTTTTGTAATCTGCAACAAAATAACTTCACACAGCCATCTCCCCAACCCTGCATTTAAATTCACTTGCAGTATAGGTTGCAGTATGAATGACAGATGTATTAATTATATGGTATTACACTCACCCATCCTTTACAGAGCTGACAGTGTGAAACTTTAGATCCCTGGAATCTACAATTTCACATTAAACATAAACATGTCAATCAACATCATATAAAGTCTAAATCATATAGCTTTTTCAACTGCAGTATACTTTATTTTTATTTTCATTGTTTTATTTTAATACGTTTCATATTAAAACCGAAATGTTATCTGCATGGTGTTGACTGTAAAATAATCACTCACTGTGCGTTGGTCTCCCAGAGAAAACGTTCAGCCTGGAGTCAGCGGTGGAGAAATATCCAGACACCGGAGGACTGAAGGTTGAACTGGGTCGCGCGTCTGTAATGTCCTGGATCATCAGAGAAGCTTCAATTGGCAGTGACATCAGTTTGGGTCTAACGACGCTGGCATAAGGCTTCATCTTCACTTTCAGATGACAAACAAACTATGTCATTTTATACCGTTTAAATAGGTTAAGACTAGCCAATTGGTCCATTTCAGCTAAGGCTAAATAAAAGAGTAAATAATGGAAGCTGATAGTGCTTGGCGTCGACGTTTCCATGACTACCACTACTACAACAACCACGTGACAAACGCGATGCGATAAAAGTTAATTATATTCAGTTTGACTAAAAAATGAATTAACGTAACGTTATTCAAACCATACGCGGTTTGTTGGCTTAAAATGAATTAAACATGCACGATATGCTGAATTTATTTACCTTATTTAATTTTTCAAATTTAACAAGCTCTAATTGTTAAACAACAACACCTGTGATGGAGTCGTTAGTTTGAGTCGGTTCGTTTCTATTAATCACAAGTTACTGTTCTAAGCATCGGTCGTAACGTGAAGAATCATTGTACACTTTGTAATGGGCTAAGTTCTTTCAGAATATGGACTGTATCAGACTGTGCTATCAGACTTTTAGAATATTGTACATTATGCATTGTAGCTATTATTTAACAACAATAATAATAATAATAATAATAATAATAATAAATTTCAGTTTGCATTACCAGATAATAGTAATGATAATAAACAAAAACAGGTCAGAACGAAAAGTAAATAAAATCAAATAAAAACCTTTGTTGAAAATAATTGATCAAACAGCCCCATCGTCACTTAACATTTACTATGTATGGACCCCTTTCCCTTTACAAGACGGAGAGTGTAATTATAGTTCTAGTCCAACAGGTGGCGACGTTGTAAAGGCATTTTCTCCCAAGATAATTTAGTCCTAAAATGCACTTTTTCTACTTTTAATCTAATTTTTATTTATTTTGCTGTTTTTATTGTAACTCAATCTTTTTTATACATTTTAAATCATTAGTTTCCTTAAAATGAATTTACAACTAAAAACAATAAATATATATAGGGCTACTTTTTTAATAAATTTGACTGCTAGACTGCTTCATGATTGGGGGTAGTAGATATTTTATAATATTATAATTACATAATATTACATTATCATCCTAATATGATGTTTTTATTCATTCATTCATTCATTCATTTACTTTTCGGCTTATTCCCTTTATTAATATGGGGTTGCCATAACAGATGCCCTTCCAGCTGCAACCCATCATTGAAAAACATCCATACACAATCATTCACACACATACATTGCGGACAATTAAGCATATCCAATTCACCTATACCGCATGTCTTTGGACTTGTGGGGGAAACCAGAGTACCTGGAGAAAATCACGCAAACATGGGAGAAGAGAACTTACAAACTCCAAAAAAGAAATGCCAACTGACCCAGCTGAGGCTCGAACCAGCGATCTTCTTGCTGTGAGGTGAATGTGCTACCCACTGCACCACCGTGCAGCACAATATGATGTTCTATCGTATATAAAAAAATATTTAATGATACAAAAATTGCATTTGTTTGACTCTCACTATACAAAATATGATGGAAAACAATATAGTTTAGGTATAGTTTATACTTTTTTTATATTTATTGGGGACCCTAGATGTCCTGGTGCTCTAAGCTCCCGTTTACCTTGATTATTAACTAAATCCGCCCCTAATCATGAGCAAATAAAAAAACTAAGCCTGTAATATGACTAAATTCCATTAGTTAAAATTAAGATGTAGCCTACATACAAAAACACACACTATGAAAAAAAATTCAGGGTTCCACACAATTCATTCAGGTTGTTCATTCATTAATTTTCCTTAGGCTTAGTCCCTTTATTCATCAAGGCTCACCACAACGAAATAAACCACCAACTTGTCCAGCATATGTTTTACACAGTGGATGGCCTTCCAGCTGCAAACCAGTATTGGGATACACACATACACACTCATTCACACAAATACACTACAGCCAATTCAGCTTATCCAATTCACCAGCACATGTCTTTGGACTGTGGGAGAAACTGGAGCACCCGGAGGAAACCCATGTGAACACGGAGAGAACATGCAAACTTCACACAGAAATGCCAACTGACCCAGCCAGGAATCGAACCAGTGACATGGTGTGAGGTGAATGTGCTGACCACTGAGCCTCCATGTTACCTTCATTCAGGTTAACTTAACAAATGTAAGTGTATTAAACAATAATTACATTGTCCTCAAAAAATATCAAGAATTTTGTTGTTTAAGCTCATTTTACATAAGTAGTTTGAACAAACAGCAAAATACTTTTGAGCATACACTGTAAAAGATAACATGATCAATTAGTCGTGACAGCAAATGTTTTAGTTCGTTGTAACTTAATAAACTAATCATGTTTTAACTTCATTTTATAAGTTACACAAGCTGTTTTGAGTCAGTTTATCATAATGTAAGTTTAATGGAATCATACGGTCAATTTGATTCAGCTTAAAATTGTAAGGTAACAAGGATTCTTCTACAATAAAATGTAAATAAACTAGCCTACTTGCATTTTTTACATAATAGCTGTTCAAAATCCATATTTTATTATGGAAAAAAAAATTCTTTAGTCACTAATAATAACTAAGTTTTAGTTCATTGATTGGTAACTGAAATAAAAAGTTCAACAAACAATGGGCTGTTCAGGGCATCATTTATTAATGTCACAATAAGGTTATAGTGCCCAAACAGCCTTTCCCATATTAGTAGCACAGTGATTCTGCTTTAGACTGTCAGAGGAATCAGTGTTTACAACACAGCAGCACGTTCATTTGATCTGCAATAGAGAATGTGGATTGTGAATTAAATGTTTTTCTGTAGGGAGGTTGGACATGAACATTAGCAGCCAGGTGCCAATTACCAAGACAATAAATTCTTCTCGAACGTTAACAAGACCCCAGTGATTACACACCCATTCACATCTATTGATCTGCTAAGGAGACAGTTAAAACTGTTTTCCGTCTGTACTGTAGCTTATAAATTGCATTGACTACAGAAGAACTACTGATTTAGGCAAAGCTCTACAAATGTGCCACTGAAAGCAATACTAACTGCCGGAAAATCTGTCTGAACAGAATGAACTGCAGAGGGCAGTGAAGACAGTGCAGTTTATTACTGAGCTATCAGGCAAGTATTCTGAAGGATGTCTTTAAAAGCCCAGATCCATTCTTAAAGAACCCAGCCAACAGTGACTGTTTTCTCCTAACATCTGTGAATACTGTTTTGTCAAATAAAGTTTTTCACTTTCAGAATAAACTTCATTTGCATTGCATACAGATATGCAAAGCATTCACTGCATGTTTTATGGTTCACTTCGTTCATATTTGAATTGGTTTCAGGATAACCTTAATATTTCTATTCTAAAAATGCTTCGTGCTTTTTTACATTTCTTTCTGAATAAAATAATTAAATGAAAACATAAATAACAGTCTGTTCACTCATTTCTCAGATTCGCTCACTTTCATATTCATATTAACTTAACTATTGAACTGGATTAACAACTTTTGCACATTATAAAAAATATGTTAAATGTTCCATGAATTTTTTTTAACATCCATGGACATATTTCATTCTACGAACAGTTATTTACAGTTGAAAAATATTCTTAAGAAAAAGTTATTTTTCTTAAAGAATGGTTCTTTGAAAACATTTTTACTAAAGGAAAATATTATTTTGATGCATCACTGTGAAAACCTCTTTGGAACCTTTCTTTATAGTTAGAAAAACCAACTTTAATTCATTGTTGTATTTTAATGTCATTTTAAAATATCTTTGTTGCATTTTAACTTTATACTCAAATAATACAGAAGTAAAAACTTTGAATGCCCTCTGGTAGCCTTCAAGTGTTGGCTCAAGAATAAAATGTAAGGAAAAAAAGTCAAGAAAAAGAAAAAAAAAGTTCTTGAGAAGAACTTAAACCTTCTCTCTTCTGGAACCTTTACACTTTTAAATATGAAGGTTCTTTGTGGACAGTTTGGCATCAGTGCTTACATGCAGAACCTTTAACATCAGAAAATGGCTACATGATCAAAGTATCAGATTATTTACAGTAGAAGCTCTTAAGCTAAAATTGTTCTTTATTGCAGAGGTTCTTTGGGACACCAAAACGTTTTGTTTGGTTGGCTACAGGCTACCTCCTGGCACCCTTCATACACCTGTACTTTTGAGAGTGTAGGCTAGCCTTAGCCTACACCTGTATTGTCTACTGATTTTCTTTTACATAGAAATGGGCTCCTATAACATCACAGTTCTTAGCTGCAGCTGCTGGTACAGATAAAAAAAATATTTGGCCATAAAAAACTCCAAGAAAAACAAAATAGGCTACTATATCCTCTAATACGCATAGCCTATCAGCCAAAAAACACTGAAGATACAAACGCAACTATTTATTAGTCAGTGTGGTCATCACGCACCTATTTTGTTTCCTCAAACGTCCACGGATGACCTACGTAAGTAGATGTAAATTTCAATCAGGCATCTGGGCCAATCACTCTGTGGGGTCCTGTGGAGAGGGGCTGGTTTAAATAGAGCGCGAGCAGCAGCAGCGGTTGTGAAGAGATCAACCTCTCATAGATCAGCGGCGCACCGGCAGCTCTCGTGCGCATCCGTGCCGGGACATCACAGCATTCATACGGGCATTCGCAGGGGGACGACGCGGCTTTATTTAGAGCCACTTACAGTTTTATTTGTGATGCTTGTATTCTAAAAGTTTAATGTGTTATATTGTTGACAGGTTTATGCGGTTTATGTGTGTTAGTAGTCGTATGACAGTTGGGGTTACCTGTATGTTCACCCCACAACATTGACAGATAGATAAATAAAAAATTAAACGCTTATGTTCGGAGCACATCAGCAGAACTCAGGTTGTTTAGTCATTTAGGTGTAACTTGACATTTTGAGACCTTTTTCTAAAACGAGTCACGGCACGGCATTAAACATGGTGATGAACATCTTCGTGGAGTTTTTCTTGGTCATGCTCAAAGTTTGCTGGGCCATCGTGATGGCCGGATTCAAGTGGCTGATACGGCCGAAGGAGAAGAGCGTAGCGGGACAGGTGTGCGTGATCACCGGGGCGGGCGGAGGGCTCGGGCGGCTCTTCGCCAAGGAGTTCGCCCGGCGCCGGGCTACACTGGTGCTGTGGGACATCAACAGCCACAGCAATGAGGAGACTGCGGAGATGGTGCGACAGATCTACAGAGAGCAGGACAACCCGATGTCAAAAGAGGGTACATTTCTTATTTGACCTAAATAAGTGTAAATGACAACGTTTTGAACACGAATGTAAATGTTTGTAATGTTTGTAAACGTTTTTAAATGTTTGAAAGTATATATATATATATATATATATATATATATATATATATATATATATATATATATATAGATAGATAGATAGATAGATAGATAGATAGATAGATAGATAGATAGATCATATTCTCTTAATAATAACTTAAAAATCCTATGACTGAAGCAAAAAAATATATATTAATTTTCAATTTAATATGCACAAATGTGTATATTCATTTGTTATATATTATTTATAATTTAAATAAAATATTAAATTTGTATTCATTTCCTATTGTAGATAATATGTAAAATAATAATATAATTACATATTATCAATTTTAGTTTACATTTTTTGTATAATATGATGCTTATTTTTTGTTAATACTTGTTTATTATATAGGTTATTATCCTGATTGTCATTAAGTAGTAATACTCAAGTACAAAATCTCGAAATGCTGTTATTTGCTTGACAATTTATTGTTGTGAAAACATTTAAATAAGTAACTGTACTTAAATGACACCTTTTTGTTAAACAGACCTTAATTTTTAAGTGATATTCATTGGAGACATACTATTTAGTGCCATCTATTGGTAAAACATATAAACTACCAGTTATCAGGCTACAGTCATACCCTTTTTTGGAATTAATTAGGTTATGTAAGCATTTTTGCAAAATAGATTTGCTTTTTGGCAGATGTTTACACTTGATGTAAAGTAAACTGAGGTGCACAAGAACGTTTGGTGAGTTTTAATTTTTGCTTCCCAAAGGAGCTGTTGGTGGTGTGGAAGAGGTTCCTCCGTTTCAGCCGCAGGTGTATACATACGTGCTTGATGTGGGAAAGAGGGAGAGTGTGTACTCGACAGCAGAGAAAGTGCGTAAGGAGGTTGGTGAAGTGGACTTGTTGATCAACAACGCTGGTGTTGTGTCCGGCCACCATCTGCTAGAGTGTCCCGATGAGCTGATCGAGAGGACCATGGTGGTGAACTGCCACGCGCACTTCTGGGTGAGCCTCTTTTTACTTTATCACTACTAAAAGCTGATCCAATCATCATGGAAAGCCAACGTGCATCATAAAGGCAGCGTACAGCTGGGAATACTCAGTGGAATGCTCTCTTTTAGTGTTTGTACTATATCACATGATGCCACTATCCATGCACCCATCTGTTCAGCACATACTCATTTCTCTGCTCTGGTATTTGTGCTTGGGCCAAGTTGGAAAGCAAACCTCTTTTCCTCCATGCATGTTCATAATAATACTCCAGAGTGAAGTTTGAAATGTGGACTCATGGTATGTTAAAAATCACTGTTTATTCTTTGAATTTCAATTACATCAACCACTTAGAAGTCCAGTCGTTAAATCCGTCTGGTGTCATTGAGTCCAAACAAATGTGTCTGTCGTCTAAGATGAGACCCCCCCCCCCCCCCCATCCCATCCCCTTTTTTCCCTCCCTTAAAACTCTCTAAAAAAAGTGTTGCATATTCCTCATGTAATCACACACGTCCTGACTGTCTGGTCTTTTTTTTAAAAGTACAGTTCACCCGAAAATTCTAATTCTGTTATTATTCAGTCACCTTTTACTTGTTCTTAAGTAAGTTTCTTTCTTATGTTAAACACAAAAAATATATATTTTGAAGAAAGCTCAAAACCACTGACTTCCAAAGTATTAGTTTTGCTTACTATGGTTTAGTGTTCAACAGAATAAAGAAACATATAAAGGGGTTGGAACCACTTGAAGGTTAGAAAATAGTGAGTAAATGTTTATTTTTGGGTGAACTGTCCCTTTAAGAAGTCAGTGACATCCATTTGTTCTCATTCTTTCCTTAGATTGCAGCGGCCTGTATTAATATTTATGGCTCATTCTGGATGTACTGCTAAAGTAGACATCCACAGGCTATGAGATTATGAAAATCTGGTGTGTGTTCTGTAAAGATGTCTGCGTACAGGAGCTGATCTTAGATCAGATTACTCTTTCTGACTATCAGTTTCGAGTTATAACATCAGAACAGATTTTAAAACCATACTTTCACTCAGGGAGGATTTATTAACATGCCCCCTGTCGATTCAACAGAGTCCTCTCCAAAGCTCTTCAATCTGTGGATGAAAACAAGCTCTGAGTAAGACAACTCCAGCAGGGGGTTTTAGAAAGATCACCAGGAACAATCTGCTCTGGCTTGGTTTGTTAATTTAAAGCCCATTGAAGAGCACATCCTGCCTGGGGAAGTACCATTTGGACGAGTCTATTCTCACTTGGCCTCACTAATTAACCTCTTGCCAGTAAATGCGTAAAGGGGCCTGTCTGTAGTTTGCATTGTCTTACTAAGACCACCTTGTGGCGTGATATGGGGCTGGTTGTTCTAAGTCACATTGTGGTGGATTGTTTTATTTGTGTGTGTGTCTCTCTGTTGGATATCCTAGCATTGTAATGATTAGAACGACATGATATTTAATGTTTTTGGAGAGGTGTGAGTTGACATCATTCTAGACCACCTGGAACATAAATATACTAATGTTCTTTTTATTTTGACTAAATGTTTTTTGATAGCCTTGGGGTGTCAAGAAACTGCATTGCAATGGGAAGGCTTTTTTCTTTTTTTTGTGTGTGTGTGTGTGTGTGTGTGCATATTGGCATCTGTGTGAATGAGCACATCCTAAATCCTGGAAGTTCTTCTAATGAAGCATGAAAATGCTTGGAGACAAACTGAGATTAAGTGCAACAACATGTTCTTTGCTATCAATTTGTGTGTGTGTGTGTGTTGTGTTGGTTTATTTTGTACTTAGAAGTTATGTAGTTGTGCTGCGTAGCAGATGCACTTGTCAGTGGTGGAGTTGGGATTCTCATTAAGGTTTTGGTTGTGTTTGCTTAAGCTTTATGCTGCGCATGGTTTCTTGTGGGGGTTTAAGATGAAAGCAGAGCTTAATCATTAAGGACAGGGAAGGAATACAGAGTGGAGGATGTGGTCATTAAAGCCACAAGCCAGCTGAATAGAAATGCACCAACACTGCTTTTCCTTTTTCTCTCTTACACAAACATGTTGTCTTAATTGGTTGCTGCCTGCATGTGGTTTGCAACATTGCAAGACTTCCCTTTTTCCTTCTCTTTTGTGTTTACTAGTAATTTTGTTTTGGCATGCTTTTATTCTAAAAAAGATGCTGTTTTTGTAAATATGGAGCTCAACACTGTCACTTAAATTTATAGGCCATTTTCCACTGGGGCAATAAGTTGGTTAATATTATATATTCTGGAACAAATTTCCCCTTAAATGGTTTAAATGTTGATTTATTCATTCATTTATTTACATTAAATTCTTTTTTTTTAGCTATTCATACTTTAAAAAAGATGTATTATTTCAGAATTAATTTAGTAATTTATTCAAATAAAGAAATTTTTTGTGGCTTTTAAATTTTTTTTATATAATTCTAATGTATTTGTTTAATATTTTTTCATGTTTTAAATATTTGGCTTAATTTTTTGCACTCTAGAATAGATTTTTTGTTCCTAACGTAAAAATGAAATTTCTGTCATCATTTAGTCATCCTCACTTGTTACACTTTTGTTGAACACAAAAGAAGATCTTTTGAAAAACTTTGGAAACTAATAGCCATTGACTTCTTTGGTAGTTGTTTTTCTTAATATGGATGCTAATAGTTACCAGTTTCCAACATTGTTCAAAATATCATATTTTGTGTTTGGAACCAGTGTGGTTCCAAACAGCAGAGTGAATGCTGGCAGAATTGAAATTTTTTGGTGAACTTACAACTCACATGCGTGGTTCCAAAACATTATTGGTTTATTTTATCTGTTGAACACATAATATGATATTTTAAAGAATGTTGGCAACCCGTACCAATTGACTTAAACAGGTCAAATTAAAATATTATTGAAGTTCTACCAGTTTCCAACAGTGGAGAGTGAATAATAAAAGAAATACAGTTAATACAGTTAATTTCTATCATTTTAGACGGGGTTGGGTCGGGCCGGAACAGTCATGTAATGCATTTCGATTAGTGCGAGAAAGTAATTAAATCGTTTGTTACAACATTAAAATCCCCCCTGCAAAGGTGAAACAAATGATGACGGAAATGTCAAAAAGAACAAATTTCGGCAGTCACTCATATACTGCGTATTACGATTGAGCGCTAAACAGCACAGCAAGCTGACAGGGAAGATGACGAGGACACTCATTACATTGAAACCGTTGTCATGGAAAATGAATTGGATGTTCTTGGTTGGTAAAAGATGAACAAACAATCCTACCCAAAAGTTGCAAAATTAGCCAGTTCAGAAATATCCCGGCCTGTAGCAGCAGCTGTGAAATGGTGTTTAGTGCTGCCGGATGCACCATCCTGAGTGTAGGACTGCACTAAAGCCATTTACAGTGGAATAAATAATATTCCTCTACAAAAAAAAAAAAAAAACTTAGCCTAATCTTGGCGAGTAAAGGGTTTTTAAAATTATAAACAAATAGTAATTAAACCATAAAATCATAATGTAGACAGGGTATACAGGCTAATGTTGGCATTAGGCTATTATTTTAATATTCAGCAGTCATCCTAATGCCAGATTGTGAAAAGAAGCCGAATTCTGTCGGGCTCGGGCCCTATCGGGCCTAATTTTTATGGCCCGATTACAGCTCTACTACTACTTTTAGATATGCTGCAACAAAGATGGGAAAGCTCTTCAAGCCTTCTTAAAGCTGTCTAAAATATGCAAAAATATGACATTCGCTTTTCAATTTCTTACTCATAGCTTGACAGAATATAAATTAAAAAAGCTGTTCTGCATTTTTGCTTTAATACATTTCAGATCTATTAATGGTATGAGAATTTAAGCCGCCTCCTTTCAAATCTTGATCTCATTCCTTTGGCCACAGGGAAGTTTCTTAAGCTTGTCTTCACAACAGGTCGATGTCATCCTCTTAAAGAGTCTCAAACATGACCTGGCAGCCGGTTCAGCGCCTTCATTTCAACGCTTTGCCGTGTTTCGTAACTCTTAAGGCGAGAAAGGGCAAACTCCAGATGGACATCATCTTTATTTTGTTGGAAAGCATGGTGGGAATGTAACAAAAGTGGAGGAGCCAATAGGAAGTGAGGCCATTATCTCAGAGCAGTTCTCTTCCAGGCTGTCTGTGCTCCATCCACTCTTACAGCTGCAATTGAGTCCCAGGACCTCACCACTGAGCCCTATCAGAGGCTTTTTAAAATAGCTGGTAGGAGCAGCACTGTGGAGGACTGACTGGTACTTGGCGAGGTAGAAGTTTAAGTAATGCAAATATCCAGATTTAATGCCTTGTCAGATTTAAGAGAGCCGAACAGAATAAGCTTCTTCCTTTCTCTCTGATGTTGACCCCATAATAGGCGATACGTGAGAGGTGCATTCCACACCTGGGCACAGTGGTGTCTGTGAAAGCCTCCTAGTTGCTAAGTGAGCGTGGCTGAAGCGAAAGACTCAGGCCTGTCCCAAGAGAAAAGCATCAAGGGAAAGAGAGTCTTGTACACAAGCTTGCTGGTAATGGGGAGCTGCTGCCTGACCCACTTATGTGACAATTGCTTTCTTGTCTAGGGATCAGCTTGACAAGATGCCAAACGACATGAGCCAAGTTCTCCAGCCTGCATTCCTGCTAGACCAGGAGAAAGGAAGCAGCCAGGCAGAAGGGTCTTACTTGAGTAGTTTTAGATGGTCTTGATGAAGGCCAATGCACCTGTAGCCATTATTTGCCTTGGGGCTGCTCATATTTTGCAGAACTCCCACTATGGCTTGATTTGAGTAAGGTCGAAGGGTTCATTTTGACTGTGGCTTTCGAACTGATTCCGCAGATCTCGCGCCACATTTTAATGAGACATTGGCATTACAGTAACAGTGTATCAATTAGCCCTCGCTTCATTTTCTACAGGCATTAGAGTCTGAGGGCTGTACATCAATCTGGCCAATGCTTTGCTACAATTTTCGGGTCGGTCCATTTTCTTCTAATTAACGGCCATCTGGGCTTTTCTGTGCAACAATATTTGTGCATATTCCTATTGGTCAAACATTATCACTAATCCAGGCTGACACGGCAGCTGTGAAGAGCTTTGTGAGGAGCGATGCACTTGAGCTTGTATCAATTAGAGAGCACAACAGGCATAGAACCACTGCAAGGGCCAAGGAAGCTTTCTGCTGTTGGAAGTTAATTTAGCGTAAACTCAGGCGCTGAGAAGCAATTACGGAAGCTATGAATTAAGACATGAACTTCTGTTCGGTTTCACACATTTTGTGTCTGAGAGGTCAGCAAGGGCATGCCCACATCAGTGGCAGCCCCCTCATTCCGAAGCAGATTGGGCTTTTACAAAGATTCTTAGCCATTTCTACTCGTTTGTGGAAGTTCAGAGGTTATTGGAGGTCATAGACTAATGGTCAATGGCCTGAACTGGTTATGTTAGGTTTGATTTTGGTAAAGCCCTGCTACTTGACCAAAATCAAGCCCGACGTTACTAGCTTAGGAGCCTGACTGGTCAAATTCAACAGTAGGGAAGTAGCTAGACATGATTATGGTTAGGTTTAATTGGTGATATTAGGGTTGATATTGGCAAATGGGTAATCAATGTTAGTCCAATTTCACTGCATGTAACAGTGTTGTGACAAATAAAGGGTCATCATAATATTACAGATGTATTGAATTTTCGACCACCAAAAATTTAACGGAAGAAAATATGTTATGCCGTTTAATAGACCCTCTAATTTTTGTGGCTTCAGTCATTTTTAGGGTACTCTTTTAAATCTGGAAGCATTAACAACTTCTATTGAAATATATATCTTTATTGTTTAATATGGAAATTAATTATCGAGACTGCATTTTTTCCATATTGCCCAGCCCTAGTACTTACTAATTCAAAGTAAATGTATTTTGTAACTTACATGATGTCATTTTCTAATTGTAATGAATGTCTGTCTTTCATTTCGCTTAATTAATGGCTCAGATTAAGCAAGATTTGTACTTTAGCGTTGAGTGATTTCCGTACCCCACTAGCATAATGTGCCTTGCATGTACCTGACACTGTTGTAAGCTTTTATACCTCTGACACTTACGAAATTGATAGTAGGTAGTGGGGTATGTATGCTCCACTGTGTTTAGGTTCTTTGCATGTGCAGAAAAGTAGCTAAAACTCACACTTATTCAGGGAAAACAGGTGTGACCCGGCAAACGCTCAACAAGTTTAATCATAACGTAAACTCAAAATCAATTTATCCATTCAGAGGTCCGAATTAAACACTAAAATGGATCTCAGCCCAGCCCACACTCATCACCACTACCAAGTTGACCAATCAAAGATCTAAAGGTATGTGTTGCCACGACATGTCGTTAATTTTTTTCATTAAGAGTTGTGCACCAGGGTCTGTATCAGGGGACAGTGAAGGGTGTGCAATCAAGCGAAGGCTACGCCAAACCTACCAGACTTTTAATTGCCTGAATCATTGCTTTCTGTCTAGTATGATGGTAGTATAATCCATCTCAGTGGCAGCAGCACCTTGCCCAAACGCTCAAAATGAAAGTTTAATATTGTGTATTGCAGTAATTGGAAGATGTTGGCATATGTTTACTACAAGCCCAATCTATCCTAATGCTTCATTTGCACGCATACTTACCATGAGTTTGGCATGCAAGGCACAAGCACAGCTTCAAACTCGTCCAAGTCTTCTCCCTTAAAGGAACCCCCCAAAAATAAGGGGAATATTAAGAGCAATTTTACACTTAATGCCCTGGAAAAATACACAGTTTACTCTTAACATTAGGGATTAAATGCGTAGCATGTGGACTTCAGCACTCCAATGCACGACTGGCCTGTCTCATGAGACTGAAGTCAGTGATCGTGAATTTGAGAGATTCCAGTGCAATACTTTAGCATGTCAAAATGGTGTGTTAAGAAAGTTGGCAAAAATGTGAAATGTGTACAGTACCGTACAAGATGGTACCATTCTCAAGCATGGCCATGGTCCATTTTTACTGAGCTTGTTTATAAATGGTGATATCATTGAAAAGCCTCTGGAAGGGGCTCTGTTGATCTTGGCTCTAACATGCTTTTTTCTTTTTCATAGCATGTTTCGTGTTTCATTGAGGATTGACTATAAAGCTACAGGCTGTTCTGTGCCGCAAGTCATCTCTTAGAGAGCAGTAAACGGGTGACACCGGTCATGTTTTTCATCATTATTGTGTCCACCCCATCACTTCCCCTGGGTCTGAAGAGAATAGAAGATGAAGCTTACTTGTGTGAAGGGTGTTTCTTTGTCTTTTGTCCAGCTAGGATCAGGGAAAAGTGGAAGATGACACTGATTCATTGCATGGAAAAAATGTCAATAACAGGCAGGCAGGATGACAAAGCAGATTAATAAAATTAACAAATGTAGTCCATCAGCCTTCAGTTAGTATAAGCCGAGTAAATGGATTCATTATCTATGTTTTAAAGGGTTAGTTCACCCAAAAATGAAAATGATGTTATGTATTACTTACCCTCATTTCGCTCCAATCCGAGATCTTCATTCATCTTTGAAACACAGTCTTCCTCATCTTCCAAAGACAGCAATGGTCCCAAAAAGTCCAGAAAATTGCAGAAAACAAAATCCTCAAATCAGACCACATGCCTTTGGTAATTCAATTCGGAATAGTATCAAGCTATTAGACTACATTTGACCATGCATAAAACAAAAATAATACATTTTATTACAGTTTCTTCTCCTCAGTGTCAGTATAGTGTGCACATTTACATTCACAGTGCTGTGCTCATTATACAAGTCTCATAATTTATGTGTGCTTTCTGCTTTATTTCAAATATGTCATGTTTGGGCACTTGGGGTATACATATCAGTGAACTCTGCTCATGATACTATGCATTTAAGTGCATTTAAACAAAACAGATCTATTAAACAAATATATTTATTCAATAATATTTTAGTCACCAAATATATTTAAAATTTTTTTTAAGATAATTCAATTAAATTTAAGCAAAATTTTGCAAACAAATAAATAAATAAATAAAAAATACAACCTACAAAGTTTTTACACATTTTTAAAATGTTTTTTGCATCTTGATTGTTTTCCCCTCTTTTTAAAACTAGTTTTTAGATCATAAGTTATTTTGCTAGATAAGCTCCAGATTTGGCATCAGTACTGACTAATCTAATGCATATGCACAAAAATAATATTGTATTGCTTTCTATTAAAGAAATATGAATTTAAAATATAGATTTGTGAGAAAGGGGTGTACTTCTTTATGCTGAGCACTTTGTACTTGCAATTGTTTTTTTTACGATTTAGTAATTTGGTAAATTATTTTTGGATGAGCTGTTTCTTTAACCATTCCAATGCTAATGCATGATCCAGGCTAAAAAGGTGGTGTTTGTTTCCAGTCTTTGTTGACCCAGTGCGGTGTTGTTGTGGTCATGAGCCATATTGTGGTGACAGTGGTGAGTGAGTACGCCGCTCCGGCTTTGTGCTCTTGATACTGAGATTCCACTCTTGGGACCAACTCATTGTGGGAAAAGAGGAAACCACAGACAAACCACTTGTTGTTAACTCGCAAGTGGTCTTTTCACCACTTTAATAAGCCATTTCAGACTAATATGAAACCACCCCGAGGTTCTGTGCAATAATTCACCCATTAAAGTAGTTCGCTTACCGTCCAAGTTAAACCTCCATGGCAGAAATGAAAACTCTGTTAAAAACTAGTACTACCAAAACAAATCGAGGCGTACATAAATTAATCTCTTAAGTGCACGGGGAACGCAAGCTCCCTGTAAATGGCCTTTAAGACTGTAATGGAATTGTGTTTCTAAACTCCCCCAGCAGGATGAGTGTTTAGTCTCAGTGACTTATTAGTTGGGGAGGAGAAGGAGGAAAAAAAAAAGAACGGATCAAAGGGCTTTGGCAGAGATGAACAGCAACAGCAAAATAACTGTCTTTATTTCTCCCCACCCCCCTTCTTTTTCCCTCTCTCTTCCTCTTCCAGACCACCAAGGCATTTCTTCCCAAGATGCTAGAGATGAACCATGGCCATATTGTGACCGTTGCCAGTTCACTGGGCCTTTTCAGCACAGCTGGTGTGGAGGTTAGTACATTGCATCCATCGCATAAATCTATTGGCAGTCTGAAATAAAAAAGAGAGCGTGTTTAGAGAGTCTCAGCACATTGGCTCGCCTGGGCATGGAAATTCAGCACGGCACACAGCACGCCGAGTGCTTCATGCCAATTAAGGAGCACGCTAACATTGAGAGTTGCTCTGAGGTTTCTTTGGGTCTACCTGCTGCAGACTATTTTCATAATTAAACCTGTTTTGTGGAGCAGCCTAAAAAGCAGTGGTGGATGAGGTACACCAGTGCTTCCAACAGGTTTAAAATATACTTGCGGTGGTCGCTGGATTGAAACACACCATTTACTTACATCACATAAATAGTAACTATATGCAACAAACAAAACATAATCTAATTTTTAACAATACTTGTGTTTATTATGACACTGTTATACACGGTTTCTTTTCAATGGGTTAAAGTAAAAAAAGACATAATATGTTGAAATAAAAAAAGAAATCCACTATTTCTCTTAATTTTATGCTATTTAGGAGCCCTGTGCACACACTGATAGGTAAAATCTGCTTATCTCTCTCTTCCAAGGTCAAAGCAAACTAGAATGCCAAAGCATTTTAGATATGTATAGCCTATGTGATATATTAACATCATCTAATTAATAAAATAATCAGCAAATGAGAAATACATCACAGAAAAAGGAATAGCAGACAGTATTTCTAAAAATGATCACAATTACATGATTAAAACCTGTAGATTATTTTAATGAGACAAACACGTTGATTAACCATTACTAATGGTGTACATATATTTTGCAGCTAGTTTATACCAGTCATTTTATCCTCTTTGTCGAGTATATAGCAAAGTTTTTCTTTGAATTATTTAATGCAATTAGCTGCGAAGCAAAGCGAATGTAGCCTTAAGTTAAAAGGTCATGCAAAAATGCATATGAGCTATAGAAGACAAAAGCAAAGTTAAATCCCAGATTTAGAAAACCTTGGCCGAAAAACATTTTTAAGACCCAAAATGGCACGTCTCTGTGAATCTGCAGGGCACTTAAGACTGTCTGTGGAAGTGTTAACAGGTCTTGTGCACACAGTACGCAACAGGTAAACGAGAGAAGATTTTCCACTGCATAATCGATTGCGGATGTTTGTTTATATTGGGCGGATATAAAAACTGTAAAGTGATGTTAATTATAGTACAAAAGACAGGTCACAAAATTTAGGCTGCCGTTAATATACCTGGGTGGCCCGCCCAAGTAAAGTCTATGTATGGGAAGCACTGGACACAAATCAATATTTTGATAAAAAAATAACTTGTAAAAGACCAGATACACAAAAAATGGGTACAAAAGCCTTTTTTATTTTGCTTGGGTTAATGGAATAGCCTACCAAAAAGTGTAACATCACAATTTACTGCCTCTTAAATGGTGCCAAACCTTTATGAATTTCTTTTTTCTGTTGAACTCAAATGAATAGTTTGAAAATGATGTAAACCTGTAACCACTACCCTCAATAGTGGAAAAAAAAAACTCTATGGAAGTCAATGGTTACAGGTATCCAGCTTTCTTCAAAATATCATCTTTTGTGTTCAACAGAAGAAAAATTTAAACAGGTTTTTGACAAGGGTGAGTAAAAAAATTTAAAGTTGGGGTGAACTATCCCTTTTAATGTACAAACGTACACTCAAAAAATATTTTTGCAGTTTTTTTTTTCAAACTACTTATTGAAAATGAGCTAAAACAGCTGAAATTCTTGTGTAAAAAGAATTTTTATGAGACAACTTAGTTGTTTTATGTTCAATCCACTTAAATTTGTAATGTTGTCCCAAAACCAATTGATTGAGTGGAACCAAGCTTTTTTACAGTGTACTTGATTCCCACTTGAGTTTCAAGAAAAAATGTTTTTTATTACCAAACGTTGTCATACACTGATAACCGTAATGATAATTTATAATAATTCAAGTATCCAAACAAGTGAAACTAACTAAATATACCATGTAACAAAGAAAATAAAAAATAATAAAGACAATACTTGTGTAATTGTGTGTTGACTAATACAACAGATGACCAATACAAACAGACAATGCAATAACGAAATAACATATAATGTGATAAGTTTTCATATTGAACTATGTAGTCATACTATCTATTATGTGCTATAGCATATCTCCAAGTATGATTTTCGCTTACAATGATAAATCCAAAAATTTGGCATTAGAATTGTACAATGTTCAAGTTCATAAATAGACAGTAACCCAAAATACCATCATTTATTCTCCCTCATCTGGTTTTAAACCTTGGATTTTTTTTTTTTTCATATGTTGAACAAAATAAATATACGTTTTAAAAACTGCTGATTGCTGGGACCTATAAACCTCCATTATAGAAACATTATTACTACGGGTGTCAGATACCAGCATTTTTTCAAAATATCATCATTTTGTGTTTAACAGAATAAAGAAACTTAAATACTGTAAGTTTTGAACAAGTGAAAGGTGAATAAAAGTGTGGTGAAGTCAAGGTTTCTCACTATTAATTAGTGGCTTATTACTTGCCTATTATTATGATATTGGCTATTTATTAGTACATATTCTAAATTATTTTATTCTACATGCCTAATCCTACCTAATACCTAACTACTACATTATTAAATATTAACAACCAGCAAATTAAAGGGATAGTTCACCCGAAAAAGAAATTAATTTGCTCACGTGGCTCCAAACCTTTTAGAGTTGCTTTTTTCTGTTGAACATAAAATAAAATATTTTGGAGAGGCTGAAAACCTGTAACCATTGAGATCCATACTATTAACTGTTTCCTTTAACTTTACTTAATCAAAATGTAATCTTTTGTGTTCAACAAAAGAAATGAGTAAAGGTTTGGAACATAAATGTAAAGAGTGAGTTAATCATGATTTTTAAAGCTATTGCTGTAAGAGTTTAAGGCAAAATTCATAATTAAGGGTTTAATAATAGCAAGAATTGTATCTTAAAATAAAATGTAACTAAAGTTTTCTACAGTAAATGCTCTTCAATCAAAATACTGATAAATATACCTTTTAAAGTAAAAAACAAAACAAAAAACTTCCAGTCCATCACTGCTAAAAAGCCCATCTATATGCGGGATCTCTCAGAGTTTTGAATAAAGCACAAGTACAGTCCTCTTCTTTCACCGCCAGCCAAAGTGGTGTCATTTTCCCAGCAGCCCTTTTGGGGGAAACGTTACCTTTTTTGTTTTGTTAGCTGTACGTGCACTTCTGTTTTACAAGCCCTCATCTTTACTCTCACTTCAAAAGGCTTCCAGAAGCCCAGTCACACTGTCTGACCTATTATGTTTCCTTGAATACAACGTTTTATGGTTTGCATTATTAGAGTGACTCAAGCCGTTGCGAGCCCCTTTATTCTAGAGTGTTTATCTAAACGCATCTGTGTTTGCCCACTCCATTCGGAAGATCCCGTCCACCGCCAACCACATCAAAACCCTCCACCGCCGCTCTACCTGTAGTTCATACAGGACATGCAGTAGAAGAATGCTAATGAAACCATAGATCCTGGGGCCTCATTTATAAAATGTGCATCAACTCAGATTTGATCTTCGTGTGTGTACGCTGAAATCCACAGCAATGTCATAATGTCTTCAAAGGGCACCTAAAACCCCTTTTTTTTAGCTGTTTGGACAGAACTGTGTGTAGGTATAGTGTCCACAGTCATATTGGGGTGATATAAAAACAATAAGTCTCTTTTTTTATTTCCTGACATTAAAATAGGATCCAAATCACTACCATTTTGAGGTTCACTGCAATGTGGTGTAGGACAAACACATATTAACATGTCTCTGTAGTAACGCTTATAATCATATCAACAATCCAGGACATGCGCAAAACAACTGGGATTAAAAGATATTTTCGGCTCACTGAGATCCTCAATCATCATCAAATGTGTGCAAGAATTAGTATTACTACTTTAAAACGTTGTTAAAACAGTGCATGTTTGTAATAAAGTACAGATGGAAAAATCTATGAAATTCATCACCGCAGCCGCATGTCAGTACTATTATAATTGAAGACGCTTCAATCCCTGTTTGTGGACGTTAAATCAGGTTTATTTTGTACATTTAACATAATGGATATCCATACAGCAGTGGATATTAACGTGTATCCTGTCACGTTTGTCGTGCAAAAACAGTGCAAATTTAAACGTGCACGCTGTGTGTGTGTGTCTGTGTGTGTGTAAACTTTGTAACAACATTGTGTGTGACTCATCATTGCAAAAAAGCTTGAATTAACTCTTCAACAACCACATCAAAAAATCATTGGGAAAAGTTCTTACTGTAGTATTTTTCAAACGTTACGTGAGATCTGCTGCCTTCGTGTCTGTCACTGTGCTGTTTATCTGACGCAGAAGGAAACAGAGACATACTCTGACAGGTAACGTGGAGGGAGAACTAGCATTAAAGGCACAGGCAACAAATACAGCTACGATGCACTCAACTAAACAATGCGCTCAGAGCTGAAAATTTAGATATTCTGAAAAGGTATAATAAATAATCTGATGGTGTTTTAAGCTGAAACTTTACAGACACATTCTAGAGACACAAAATACTTATCTTAAATTTTGAAAAAGGAGTAAAACAGGTGCTCTTTAAGGTGGGAAAGGATGACAAAAGCTGCATCCCAAATTGCATACTTATGCACTATTCTACACCATTTTGTTGTATAAATAATGTAAGTAGTGCTTTCACATTGAAAACTCTAAAAATAAATAGTTCACTTTAATTACCCGGATGATGCACTCATTCAGCTGGTAAAATGAAGTGTGGAATGATGGACACTTCACGCACTCAACGACCAAGGCTTTGCTCACGTAGCGGAAAGGGCGGAGCTATTGGGCGCACATGTTGGATAACTTTATTTATTTTGGATAGTGAAAGCAAAATTCTCGTACAAGAGGGATTATAGCGCATCCCGATAGTGAATGCGGTTATATGCATGGCTGGTATTATTTGGTAGTTTGGCCATTTATTTCACTGATTTGGCAACCGTCAAACGTCATCAGGGAAGCGGTTTAAATTTCTGCTTAGTAAAAAAACAATTGTGCTCCATTTGGGACGACACTTCATACATGTACTATGCTGTTGAGTGTGTAAGTGCATAAGTACATAGTGCATGAGTGCATAATGTATAGTGTGCCATTTGTGACACAGGTAAAGTCTAAGCAGATGTACGCTCTTGTGGCAAAGTCGTAGTACTGCAACTATTTGAAAAACTAATAAAAGAGGTGTATGCACACCGAGTTTATTATAAACAATATAGAGTGAGAGATTATTTTAAAATAGGGAATAGTTTAGGAATTATAAGTTTTTGCAAAATTAAACTGACCTTCTAATAGCCTAATGTTGAGAACACTTTACTCGCATTCTGTTGGCTACACCGTTTATTCCAAGTTGTTATTGGTTTTGTTTAAAAAAAAAAAATTAATGAGAAAATTTGTAACTTCTTGATTTTTTTAAGATGTAAAATCTACAATAAACAATCATAATCCTAATAAATCCAAATTAAAATGAAAATAGAGACCTCAGCATTTCAACATTTTCGTCAGTTATATTTCTACACAAATATATATCTACACAAAATCTATATATCAAAATTTTTAGCTCCCTTTGATTTTTTTCTTTTTTTAAATATTTCCTAAATGATGTTTAACAGAGCAAGGAAATTTTCACAGTATGTCTGATAGTATTTTTTTTCTTCTTGAGAGTCTTATTTGTTTTTTTGTTTTGTTTTTTGTGGCTACAATAAAAGCAGTTTTACATTTTTTAAAAACCATTTTAAGGACAAAATTATTTGCCCTTTTAGCTATACATTTTTTCGATAGTCTACACAAAACAAACTATCGTTATACAATAACTTGTCTAATTACCCTTACCTGCTTAGTTAACCTAATTAACCTAGTTAAGCCTTTAAATGTCACTTTAGGCTGTATAGAAGTGTCTTGAAAAATATCTAGTAAAATATTATTTACTGTCATCATGGCAAAGATAAAATAAATTAGTTATTAGAAAATGAGTTATTAAAACTTTTACGTTTAGAAATGTGTTGAAGAGATCTTCTCTCTGTTAAACAGAAATCGGGAGGAATATTTAATAAAAAACACGATGTGCATTAACTGCATACTGTAAGCTTTAATTTAAGGGTATTTACATCCGTGAACGGTGAACGTTGTAGGAGTTACAACAGTTTGCATGTGTCCCTCCCACTAGTTAAGTGACCAAAAGTAATGGGACTGAATAATAATCATAAATCAAACTTTCACTTTTAAATACTTGGTTGCAAATCCTTTCCAGTAAATTACAGTCTGAAGTCTGTAACACAGACATCACCAGACAGTGGGTTTTTCCCCAGCTTGTTCTTGGGGCATTTTTCCCATCAGTTTTCCCTTGCATGCTTAATCGGATTCAGGTTAGGGATTGACTTGGCCATTGCATAACAATCCACTTTCGCTTCAAAAACTCTTCTTAGTTGTAATAGCATGTCAAGTGATTCTTTAAAGCAGGATAGCTCTTTTTTAATTGAAGCTTTTATTTTCTTTGTGCTCCTCATTCTATAGCAGTAAAAAACAGATACTAGCTTGTGCATCTTTTATGTTAAATATTTTATGTCTTGAATGTTAATTACAATATTATGTTTTGTATCTTGGTTACAAGACGGAAATCTGATAGCACACCATTTCAAGATAATTGGATAATTTTCAAGATTGGCATATGCAAATGTTTTCTCTGAATCACACTTTAAAAACAATTTCGCAAATGTTTTTTTGTGCAACGTTTTATAAATAAGACCACTGGTGCTCCCATGCAGTTATACAGGAAAAGTGCCTCAGGTAGGCCTCACCAAATTCTGTTTCTCCTTGGGGTTTTAGGATTACTGCGCTAGCAAGTTTGGTGCCATCGGCTTCCATGAGTCCCTGAGCCACGAAATCCAGGCTTCGGAGAAGGACGGTATCAAGATGACGCTGGTGTGTCCTTACCTGGTGGACACGGGCATGTTCAGAGGATGCAGAATAAGGTAAAAGAAAGCAGCCGTCCAAATGTCACGATTGGGTTTCAGACGGCCACTAAAGGAGCGAAGGACACAATGAGTATCTAGTTCTAGTAGACATTGCTTAACAACAGTCAGGGTAGCTTTGCTTGTGGCCTCTCATGTCACTGTCAGCTTGGGTTTTCACACGCACAATAGCACCTTCCACTTGAATAGACGCTGCATGCTGGATCTGTTTCCACTCAATAATGACTCGCTCTGACTGGCGCAGCACTTTTTTCTCTTTTTTTTTTTCTCAACAAAGACCACTCTTAATCATCGTGTTTTCTCCTTCCTTTCTTTCTCCTGGGCGGGTCAGGAAAGAGATCGAGCCGTTTCTCCCTCCGCTGAGACCAGAGTTCTGTGTGAAACAGGCTATGAGGGCCATCCTGACAGACCAGCCCATGATCTGCACGCCTCGCATCGTATACATGGTCAACTTTATGAAAAGGTATGTATGAGTGTATGGAGCTAAATTAGCCTCAAGGAAAATTAATGTCAAAAATACGATGAACACATCCATAAAGCCAAATTCACATGCACAAGATATTTACATATCAAACCCTCCAAGAATTTGTGATTGTGGGATTGCTTAATTTAATACAATTGTCACAATATTTTGTGGAGTTCACATTTTTTATTTTGTTTAGTTGCCGCAAATTTGCCACATATTTTGGACAGTCGGGACCTCAAATTCCAGCTGTGCCACAGATCGCCATCTGCGTAGTTTTACATTCAAAAACAGTATTAACAAATAGAATATTCCTGCCCAGTGTGCAAAACCTAAAGTTGTTAATAGACATTTTTCATCTGGTGTGTGACCCCGTCATGTGACATTATCACAACATTCATTCAAAATCTGTTTGAACTATGCCACGTAAGTTGTATCACTTGCTAAACTTCTACATATTGTATATGCATCTTGTTGTCATATCTCTCTTTCTCTCTCATACACATTACCCACACACAGACACACTCATACTGTAAGTACGCATTCTCTGCATTATGTCCAACGTGTTCAAATAGCTGTCAAACCACACGGATAGATTATTTTCAAACAGTCAGTTTCATTTTTTTCAAATATAATACCGCAGCTTAAGGGTTAAAGTCTAGCTTCTTTCTGGTCCAATCAAAATTCAATTTTTTTATCCCTTGCCCTTGTCACAGAGTGAGAAAGGGAAGAGCTTCAAATTTTACCCCTAAGAAATGGGACAGCACTACAACACCTGCACACATCATCAAGTCATCACAAGCTCTTACTTCGTATGAGATGGAAGATGGTGACTGCTATAGTTATTTTAGTTATGCAATTTTTTTGTATTCTGGAAATCACTAAAGGCAACGATATCATGTCATCATAACGATATGATGTGGCGATAAGATCGTAACTGTACTGTGCATTTGCACAGTGGCCATATTGATCTATGTAAACACACGAAAACAACATAAACATTATAGCAGAAACTGTAAAATGGTCATTTCCAGCCACTAGACTTTTCTGACAGGGGATTAGAGCGACATATGTGAAAGTATGTTGTGGGACTGCTATACAGGAGTTATTATTAGGGATTATAGATAATGACATTTAGCAGTTATTACTTTAGTGTTTTTTTTTTTTAAAGCATGACGGTAAAACACGATTGTCATTTTAAATTTATGAAAACATGTGCTTGTTTGTTGTAAAGAATTTTCGTAATGAAAAAAAAAATGTTTACTTCTTCCATGTTTAGACATTTTGCTGTTGTAGCTAGTGTATTCATGGAAATTTTCATACCCCTTGGTTTAGAGAGTGGTCTTGAAAAATCTGTTTCAAGGTCTATCTAGCCTTCCTCTTAACCCTACATCTTCAAGCTAGAGAACTGGGACACTTCCACCCCTTTTACGTGAACGCGCAAAACGAGGGGTAAGGGGAACGGCTAAGGGGTAGAATTGGGATCAAGCCTTTGTTTCTCTCAGTGAGAACGTTTACATGGATACCAATCATGAATGTAAGTAGTATGCTTGGAACTTCATCCGCCATTTTGTCATGTTGATCACGTGACCTACCCATGTCAGTTGCGTTACTTTACTCCCATTCATGAATTCGGTCGCAGTACATCATAAGTTAAGATCCAGGAAGAGTCTCGCAGGAAGTAGGAGGTCATCCGGGTACTTCTTGTATAAGGTTTTTTTGAATTCTAAGAGTTTGAACACACTACTCAGCTCAGATACTGTTTTTAACATACTATATAGTATGGAAGTATGCGATTTCAGACGCAGTCATAGTTTAATGCATGTGAATTTGTCTACCCATGTGAACATTGTTTTTTTAAAGTGAATTATTATTGAGACTAATTTAGCTCAATATTAATGGTCCTAAAAACATGACTTTTTGCTTCATCAAGAACTGTCAAAACTTAATTGCGTCCATTTTTGTTTTCCAGCATTTTGCCGTTTGAAGCAATCGTGTGCATGTACCGGTTCCTTGGTGCTGACAAGTGTATGTACCCCTTCCTGGCTCAAAGAAAAGAGGCGATGAACAACAACGAGGCCAAGAACGGGATCTAGAGGGTGCCATTTTTTTAACCCACAAGGGTATTTTTCTAACCCGCATGAGGATAAGACCACTGAGAGGGCAGAAGGAAGAGAAAAGACTGAGTTTTTTTAGACTGGTGCACTTGCATTTGGCAGATGCAAAGGTTTACCATATTGTTCCTCTGGAACAAAGAAAGCTGTGTACTACACTAAGGATTTATTTGTTGATTTTTATGTTGTGTGTCTTTTTTAAAGGTTTGTTTAATCAAACCATCCATCTATATACTGTGTCAATAGTTTTGAAATCATACATGAGCTATTCAGTAATTAACTATTTACGTAATGTAGTCATCAGCATTATCTAGCATCTTTGTGAAACTATACAGTATGTTACTGTACAAACAGTAAATTCTTGTCACTTTTTTTGGTTTTGTTTTGTTTGTGTGTAGACATGCACTGTATTTACTTTCTTCTACACTGCCGACATTATCTACACAGTTCAATGTGGCACAACGCCAACCCCAATCCATTTAAAGGCTGGAGATCATGTGTCTGAAAGAGCCCAGTTCTGCACCATGTGATGTTATACAGTAGATGAAATATTTTGCATTATCCCCCCCACACACAAACACACATTTCTCTTTGTTGACGTCATGAGAAGTGTAAGTGGGTAAACCTCTGGTCTTTTATTTTTTCAGCTGCCGATGGGAAGGGAGTGTTTATTTTTTTTACTCCATAATCTACAGAGTCTTACGGTATTTTGTATAAGTAAATATACCAGAGCGACGGTCAATCTGAAGAGATGGCCTGCTTTTTATCTAATGTCATTGATTATTATATTTAGTATTAAGTGACCAATTTTAAACTTGCGCAGCAGCTGAAAATACTTTTGGTCGTTTCATTGTGGAATCATCATGAAGTTTATAAATCATTTATGAATCGCCAGTTACAGTCAATAACCCGAGGATCTTGTCATAATCTGAATATGATGCATTTTTTTTTAATGTACACTTATTATTTCTGTATGCAAAGCTGAACCATTAAACAAGTTTTTCACACACAATTTTTACATTTAGGCCAGCAAAAGACAAAACACATGATTTTAAAGTACATTCCAATAGGCTTCCTCTCTTCACCGACTGTGATGAGCCTAAAATCTCTACCTCTTCATATTTTTTTTGCCATTTGTTATTGTTACAGTATGACATAAATACTCTTTTGTAACTTTCCTAAAGAGTGCTCTATAGATGAGCACACAACATGGTTCCAATGTTTAGTGTCTCTACCTAACTTAAATTAATAAAATGATTTAGATTATGAGTTGATGTTTGTGTGTTACTCATTACCTCAATGTCTTTTTATGATCGCTGCAACAGAAAAATGCCAGAAATTCTTGAGAAAGCTTGAGTATTACTTTTTTTATATAAATTCTAGTGATTAAATTCCTGAGTACATCCCTATAATAACTGGACAGGGTGACTCGACATACTGGAACTCAAAGCTCACAGAGAGAAACTAAACTTACTGAACTTGAAGGCTACAGTATTGTTGTAGGATGTTTTTGGGGGGAGGGGGGTGGGGTAATCAGTGCTAGAACCGTTTGAGTCAGATGTTCTATGTTCCATCCAAAATCTATGATATCCTTGAGTAAAGTAAGTTTGCATCATGGGGAAATGCATCACAGGAAGAGAGGCTTGTGAATGACTGTCTCATACTATGAGTTTGAGTAGCCTACTGGTTTCCTAAGGGAAAGTTGATAACATCTTTAGAAAAGTGAATTGAATATAACAAGGAGTTATTTGTGAAATATGACTAATGATGAGGGGCTGTAGTGAACATTTTCAGATAACAGTCAATGGTGAAAAAAAGGCCCACGTGAAAAGTACCACAGTAACTTTGTTAAATACTGTTGTATATTTGAAACACCTCAGGATTATATAGTATTTTTAGTAGTATTGTAGTACCACTACAAAAGTAGTAAAGTATTCTTTGTTAATGAATGCTACAAGATATTGTAGTATTATCAACCGTGAACTGATAAAAAAAACTAATAAATACTGTAGTATATTTTAGTTTTTACTACAGTTAACAGTGGCATATGGTATATTATATACAGTATATAAGATTGTACAGTATTGGGAAAATTTTACTTTAGTACTATAGTTTTATTATCACATTAACTAGATTTGCCACAACAGATTATTCAAAGTATTTTATTACAGTATAAATACTTTATTAGGTGCCACTTCATTAGCTACACCTGTCTAACTGCTTGTTAATGCAATTTTCTAATTAGCCAATCACATGGCAGCAACTCAATGCATTTAGGCATGTAGACTTGGTAAAGATGATTTGCTGCAGTCCAAACTGAGCATCAGAAAGGGGAAGAAAGTTGATTTAAGTGACTTTGAACGTGGCACGTGGTTGTAGGTGCCAAACAGGCTAATCTGAGTATTTCAGAAACTGCTGATCTACTAGGATTTTCAAGCACAACCATCTCCAGGGGAGAAGAGAATGGCCAGAAAAAGAGAAAATATCCAGTGAGTGGCAGATTTGTGGGCACACAAGCCTTGTTGATGCCAGAGGTCAGAGGAGAATGGCCAGACTGATTCGAGCTGATAGATGGCAACAGTAACTCAAATTACCACTCGTTACAATCGAGGTATGCAGAAGAGCATCTCTGAAGGCACAACTTGAGGCGGATGGGCTACAGCAGCAGAAGACCACGTCGGGTGCCACTCCTGTTAGCTAAGAGCAATAAACTGAGGCTACAATTGGTACAGGCTCACCAAAATTGGACAAAAGGAGATTGGTGAAACGTTGCCTGGTCTGATGATACTCGATTTCTCCTGCGACATTCGCATGGTAGGGTCAGAATTTGGCGTCAATAACAAAAAAACATGGATCATTCTGCCTTGTATCAACGGTTTAGGCTGCTGGTGGTGTAATGGTGGGGGGGATATTTTCTTGGCACACTTTGGACCTATTAGTACCAACTAAGCATTGAGTCAACACCACAGCATACCTGAGTATTCTTGCTAACCATGTCCATCCCTTTATGACCACACTGTACCAGTGTTCTGATGGCTAATTCCAGCAGTATAATCCGCCAAGTCATAAAGTGCAAATCATCTCAAACTGGTTTCTTAAACATGACAATGAGTTCACAGTATCAAATGGCCTCCACAGTCACCAGAGCTCAATCTAACAGAGCACTGTTGGGATGTGGTGGAATGGAAGATTTGCATTATGGATGTGAAGCCGACAAATCTGCAGTAACTGTGTGATGCTATCATGTCAATATGAACCCAAATCTCTGAGGAATATTTCCAGTAGCTTGTTGAGTCAATGCAATGAAGGATTAAGGCAGTTCTATATATATATATATATATATATATATATATATATATATATATATATATATATATATATATATATATATATATATATATATATATATATATAGTTGAAGTCAGAATTATTAGCCTGTCTTTTTAAATATTTTCCAAATGATGTTTAACAGAGCAAGGAAATTTTCACTGTGTGTCTGATAATATTTTTTCTTCTGGAGAAAGTCTTATTTGTTTTATTTCGGCAAGAATAAAAGCAGTTTTAAATTTTTGAAACCCAATTTAAGGTCAAAATTATTATCCCCTTTAAGCTATATATTTTTTCGATAGTCTACAGAACAAACCATAGTTATACAATAACTTGCCTAATTACCTTAACCTGTCTAGTTATCCTAATTAACCTATTTAAGCCTTTAACTTTAAGCTGGCTTGAAAAATATTTGTTAAAATAATACTTACCGTCATCATGGCAAAGATAAAATAAGTCAGTAATTAGAAATGAGTTATTATCAGTGTCAATAGCCTAGTGGTTAGAGCGTTGTCACATATCACCCAGGTGCAACCCGAGTTCGATTCCTGACTCAAGGTCCTTTGCCGATCTGTTCCCTATCTCTGCTCCCAACACATTCCTGTCTGTAAATCTTCACTGTCCTGTGAATAAAGGTGAAAACTCCTAAAAAAGAAATCAGTTATTAAAACTTTTAGAAATGTGTTGAAAAACTTATCTCTCCCTTAAACAGAAATTAATTGGGGGAAAAAATAAACAGGAGGCTAATAATTTTGACCTCAATATAGAAGGCTGAGAAGGTTAGGAACTTCTGCACAATCGGAAAAGAAAAAAAGAAAAGAAAAAAAAACAGTTGCAGCTTCAGGGTCATGCAGACTTTAATATTCTACTAAACATCTAAATTTTGCTATCCTTGGATGTTTTGAGGTTGTGTAAATGAACAGCAAATTTCCATACAGTGAACTTTCCCTTAAGGTCCAGACATCAGCCGTGTTTGAACCTGTTTAATTGGCCTGACTAATGTCTGTACAGAGAGGAGTGTTAATACAGGCAGAGAAATATTGACACATCAAACCTCCCGCAGCTGCAGTAACTGTCAGATAGGATCAATCCACTAAAGCAGCTTCACACCAAGAAAATAATTAAACTCCACAGTACCAGAAATTCAGAGCTTTGAAAACACTGGATGAAATGCTTCTTGCACATGGAGATGGATTTCTTCTTCCTTTCACTCAGCGGAGTAATATAACCATAATTTAACTGGAAAAGGGTCAATAACAATTAATACTGGTGGAAAAATCAATCAACTTTGTTTCCCTATAGCAAAAAAAAAAAAAAAAGATTTATGTGGGTCATACAGGACCCAGCTATTCTAACGGATGATTCTAGAAGCTTTCCACAGCGTAACACTTATATACTTAATGTCATCAATATATTTAATTCATTTATGGTAAAAAGAAATGACCTTGCTGCAGATGAGGCAGGGTTAAGGTTAAAACTACACGTAACATGTTAAATACCTATCAGTAAAGTGAATAGAGGTAGTTATATAACGAAAAGAGGTCATTCAATGGGAAATATATCATTAATCCATCAGCCATTTTGCTCACAGTGAATGAAGATCTGCTTCCATGTTAATGCATTAATTGATATCAATATTTACAAAAGCCTCTATTGTGTTAGTCAGTGAGACTGGTTAGTGTCTTCAATAAAGAAATATACAGGAATCACAAAATCATATAAACTACATTTCTTTATGTTGTAAAGTAATTCAGAAGGCTTGCTTTTGCAAAACTACAACAGCACTAGGGGTGTTGTGAGTGTTTGCCAAAACATTTGCTACAGTGTTTGACTCTGCTATTGCTGTGCTGAAGTGATCTGTGTGATTTTAGCACTCTGCTATTGCTAGTGTATTTGTTTTTAGCACATTGTTATTCATTTTCTAAAGTTTTCCAAGTTTTCTGTGGTTTTAGATAGTTGCTTACTTTTGTTTAGGGTGTTTTTACCATAAATTTGCTGCATGTTTGATATGTTATAGCTAACCTTGCTAAGGAGATTTTAGCACCTTTCTATTTTGCTAAGATGCTTTAAGTGGATTATGTGACTACTAAGTGCACTAAGTGTGATTTTAGCACATTCTCTACATTTGCTAGTGTAAGCACATGAGTGGTTTTCATAAGGTGGTATGAGTAATTTTAGCACACCGTGGTAGCATTTGTTTTTAGCACATTCACTGTCATCTTCAGGGGTTTCTAACATTTGCTATAGCTGCTTATGTATTTGTTAGGTGCTGTTTAGAGACTAGCCAATGGTTACAGTCATGAATGTTTTAGCAATTGCTGTACATTTGCTAAGATGTTCTAAATGTTTTTAACAAATAGCTTTCTGTTGTTTTGATGGAATAGCTGAATAGCTTGAGATTTTAGCACATTGTCATTGTTAGCTTTCATTTTAACACTGCTTTTTTCAAGGTGTTCCAAGTTTAACATGTTTCCAAAGTACTCGCATTCAAGAGAATGAATTTAGTATATATATTTATTTATTTTACAGGCTGTTGAATACATTTTTTAAATATGTTATTATCTGAGTATTTTAGCACCTTGCAATACATGTATTGTACACACAGCCATATCACCCTGGAGCCCAAGGGGTGAGCCTGGTCAGTATCTGGATGGGAGACATCATGGGAAAACAAAGGTTGCTGTTGGACGTGGTATTAGTGAGGCCAGTAGGGGATGCTAGTCTGTGTATGTCCTAATGCCCCAGTATAGTGAAGGGGACACTATACTGTCAGCGAGTGCGGTCATACAAAACCCACCCAAAATATAAATTAGCCCTTTCTTCCTTGTTCGATCAGTTAATTGCTGGATCCCCATAGAGAGAAATGTTTACCATTTTTCTCTGATATTTTGTGATACAAATACTTGTTGATACTGTATAGATGTTAAAGTACTGACTGACTT